CTTGATAAACTTTTAAAAATAATTAGTTCTCTTCAAATTAACGGAAACTTGTCTATCGCGGAAACGGAAAAAGGAAATCTTTTCTTCGGATGGTTTTTAACCTGTCTATTACACGTCTAACTTAGTCTAAGACAGAAAATGTTTGCCCACTATCTTACCCAATCGATGTGAACCCTGAGCGGTGCAGTTGGTCGGGGTGGTGTGGGTGTGAAATCTCACCACTGCCCGTGGAAGTGCTCGAGTGGCGCTTTAGCGCGGAAACTTTCCTGGGCAGTCAGAGGCCAGAGGTGTGACATTTTTTCGACCAATGCCAGCCGCCCTAATCGTACGCCAGCCGAGAAAAAAAGTTCCTTGAATCGTTGTTACATGTTCGGGAATGGTGGTATTGGATGACTGCGCTTATCACCGATGGGTGGGGCTAAGGGTGGAAGCAAAGGAGAGATGTTCAGTCGCTTCAGTTTTTAATAGGTCAAAAAGTGGCCCTTTGAGATGCAAGCACTAATTGTAATGGTTAAGAAGGACTGATGTATGCTATTATATCAGAGGGATTAGGATAGCATTTGAGAGGTGTGGAATTTTGACCATTTCTTGCCGACCGGACAAGCGACGACCCTCCATCGTCCCCTAAATTCCCCTGTCTGAAACAGAACTTGTCTGAGGCCGAATTTTGTGGGTGGCTTCCTCGCGATTCCGTCTTACACACAGTATTATTATCATCACCATTATTATTATTATTATTATTATTATTATTATTATTATTATTATTGCTATTATTATTGTTATTATCATTATCATTTTTTTCTTATTTATCCTTTTAGTTAATCCATATTTTTGATGATGATGACGATGATGATGATGATGATGATGATGATGATGATGCTGATCGTTATAATTATAATTGTCTTTGTGGCTTAAACAAAATTAAAACTTTTTAGACAGAAGTTAGATAATTTCAAGTGCGAGTCCGATTTCGAGCGCTAGTCGGCTTAAAACACTTTCATTGACCTAGTTACTGTAATTTAAGTTTAAGAAATCAGTTAAAAAACCAAGCGTTACAGCTGTTATTGCCAGAACAGTATAAAAACATGAACACCCGGGCTCTAATTCATGAAGACAATGTCATTCGTTCATATAGTCACTCACGGTGGCACCTTCCGTCCCCTCCAATACTCATCCCCCCCCCACCCC